TGCAAGTGCAATGAGAGCAAACCACCGTCTATGATATCTAGAAGGAGAGTGAGCCGGGCGCCTTATCCTCACGCTTGGTACAAGTCAAAACAAGAATTAAACTGTCCCACACGGAGAGCCTGTTCATGTTCATGTTCTGACATGCATATTGTACACAAGCTATAGAACCATAAAATACTCCATAATCCATATGCTTACATGAGATTAGTTAATATCAAGTGAATAATTCTAATCAAGTCTCATTAATTTGTTGAAATACTGATATTTGAAACTTTAAGGTATAATTGATGTAGGTGAGGGGTATTTCAATTCATTTTTGTTTGCTAATCTCAAGTTTAGACATAAAGAGGCACAATATTTTGACTACCAAATTTGATTTTTAACATGTTGACAAAATTGACACAACCTACTACCCAAGTTACTTGTAACACCTAATGGTACAAATCAAGAGAGAAACAGAGTATACGCCATTTTGCCACAGAACTCCCCCAGACAGTGCATTTATCAGGTGTGTGTTGGTTGTGAAGTAACATGAACAACAGCTCCTGCTAGCCGGAAGGTAAATAAATACCGGAGACACCCGATAAGGTGAAGGATCGCGAGTCATCCTCAATTCAGAGGTGGGAAAGGCCAGCACTTGTGAGGAAAACTTTCTTCACACTGGTGGAAAGCTTCACGTTCACTTTTCATAGCAAAAACACTCGCAGCATTGAAGAAAATGATGTCACAAATGTATAAACAAGTCTTACTCTTTATTGCTATTTCTTTATTCAACAATATACAGATCATCGTCGCCTAGCAGATGAAACTGGAACTAGGCGCCCGATAGAGCATAACCTTGTATATAGGCTGCAGTACAAGCAGTAGTTTTGAATACATCTGCCGTGTGAAAGTTTGTACAAAAAAATAGTAAGCTTTTTTGTTCGATTTCTAAAATGTCATATACAGTATTTTGCTATTTACAACAGACCTTTAGTTGGTCGCAACTTAAATATTTATCACTCTTGCTGTAAAATTGTCACATATTAGGCCCATTACAATTAAATAAATGTGATCACATGAACGACAGTCATTATGCACCAAATATCAGAGCCGCAACGTGAAATAACTTAGTGTTCGGTTGATCACATGTTCCAACTGTGCACTTTTGTGCCGAATACAGACTTGAATACGACAAGCGTTGTTGTTGATAATGCTTGCATTCGGCAAATGGGATGGACCTAACTGTCTCTGTGATTGCTTCTTGAAGTTCAGGGATACACCAAGTGGGTTCAGATCAGGGGAATGTGGAGACCATTCGGCAATGAAGCGCCCGCCACCACTCTCACCGAAGTGGCTTTTCACCCAGTCAAGGAACTTTTTTGCCGTGTTAAGGGTCGACCCAATTTGCTGAAACCACGTGTCATCACTCCGAAAGAACAGCTCAGAACTCCTTTAGCACTCTGATGTATGGCTCAGACGTTATAGTCACGGCATCACCATACTTGCCTTCAAACTAGAAGAGCCAAATGATGTGTTTGCTCGTTGCACACAAACCAATTTAAGGTTTCTGGCAAATTTCACGGAGGTACCGTACCACAGTATACAGTATGTTGCTTCTTAGAGCTGACTTGGCCATTGAACAAAACGTGAGCCTTGTCGGAGAACCAAACGGCTGACCTTTCGGACCTTTCAACGACCTTACGAGTATTTAGAGAATGAGTTGACTTATCCGTTGGGTTTGAGTTTTGGACAGTATCTTGCTCCAACTTTCTTCGTCCATTTGAATATTCTTTCTTTGCATGGGATGTATCGACATTCTTTGACCCTGCATGAATGATTGTGTTGCATATGGGATTCTGCACAAAATATCTTTTCTCAACTTGTCCAAGACATAGTTTAATCTTGTTTACACCACTTCGGCCACCATTAACTAGAACAAGAGAAAAAGAAAGATAATAGGTAAATTATTGAATTAAACGGTGACTTTGGTCCTTTAAGAACTCCCTGTATAAAACCGTACTCGGAGAAAATGGCACAGGAAAATATGGCACAGGAAAAATGGCACAGGAAAAATGGCACAGAAAAAATGGCATAATTTTCATACTAGGAAAAAATGGCACAACAAATTTCACTTTGAGCTCACGAACCACAAACGAGCTAATGAGCTACGGCATGTATAGGTTAGGTTAGGTTAGGTTATAAAATTTTAGCGAAAACATGTCAAGAAAAATAATTTTGCCATTTTTTCCTATTGTTATATTTATGCCTTTTTTCCGGTGCCATATTTTCATATTGCCATTTTTTCCTATGCCATTTTCTTCTGTGCCATTTTTTCCTGTGCCATTTTTCCTACATTCGTATACACACATATATGAACACAAACCTATATCAACACAAATACATATCAACATAAGCTTATGCATGCAAACAAACATAACTTTATAAACATGCGTATATTAACAAACAAGTATAAAACATATAAACACAAACAGGCCTATATAAACATAATCAAATTTAAACGCATTCACCTGCAATCATCTCTATATAATCGTAAGCCTACATGAACACAAACTTAAATAAGCAAGCATATATAAACACAAACCCATACAAACACAAATCTAAATAAACATGTATATTTAAACACAAAAATTTACAAAATACAACCGAGATATAAATACACGAGTAAACAATTGAACATCTTAGCCACTTGTGCACAATCATTTTCCTCCACCTTTAGCTACACACAAATGTTGTTGTTGAAGATTAGAAAATATAAGACGGTGGGGGGTGAATAGGGGGGGGGGGGGCAGCCTTTCACAAGACGTGGTGAGCTGCAGACACCACTTTTGCTAACAAACAACTTCACCCTGTATGGTGGGGATTTCGTCTGTCGATGTTTTAGCCTTGCCGCCGGTTTTTTTTGTGTGTGTCTGTAATAATAATAATAATAATAATAATAGTAATAATAAACAGTTTATTGAAAAAGTTCTGCAGCCCGAAGGCTGAAAATATACATTAGACAAAAATTACTTATTACATATAAAGACATGGGGTGGGTGGGTCGTTTAACAAAAGCTTTCATTACTGAAAGGAGAAGGAACATGAACTGAACATATAAATCATTATAGTTTGCAGCTGATGTCCCGGGCTGGTCTCTTGCCATACTGTGTGAGGTCACATAGGCCTCGTGGTTCAGTAACTCGTCCGTCGGTGTTGATATGAAGGACCTTACGTGGTCATGGATACACCGGGTGGAGTGGTGTTCATGTGGTGTAGTAACTCGTCCGTCGGTGTTGATATGAAGGACCTCACGTGGTCTTGGAGACACCGGTGGAGTGGTGTTCATGTGGTGTAGTAACTCGTCCGTCGGTGTTGATATGAAGGACCTCACGTAGTCATGAGACACCGAGTGTTGTGGGGTGGTGTCACAGTACTTCATTCTCTGTTAAGTGGTGTTGTGTTATCTCGTAGTCAGGTGTGAAGCCGACCCACTGTTGTTCCCATGGTGGACTGATTAGCACCTCCTGGTCAGGAGCTGGTGGCAAGTTCCAGGGGTGCTTATCTCACTGGTGGGTCACGGCTCTCACCGGCACTGTCTAGTGCTGAATTCACTGGCTCAAACACTGTTCATTACTGTTCAACACTGATCCCACTTCATTCTGAAACGAAATTTTCACTTATGATTATGTTGATATCCCGGGGGTGAGGATGGGTCGGGGAGAGGGACTTAAGGAATGGGGCCGAACATGGCCAAGGGGGGCCGCTGCGCACAGCGCCTGGTAGGTCTTGACCATCCGGTGGTCAAGGGTGTGTGTGTGTGTACACGAATGTCCATGTATTGACATCAATATAATTAATACACTCATGGGGATATATTTGTAAGTAATGGTATATTGTATGAGGATGACGAGTAGAGTATTTCTTCCATTCACCTGTTTGAAGTGTATTAAGACCTAATGCATGAAATAATATTAAGTGGACAAAAAATGAACACATTTTATTTTTATCTCATGTTTGTACGAGTTGCCGAATGGTAGAAGCAGAAAGAACATTGCATTGTAATGCAACGTATATGAGGTTTAATGTATTTGGTGACTACATAGTTCAGGTTTCATCTACTTGGTTGCGTCGAAGTTGGGAAAAAAATGAAAAAAAAAATGGATGCCGGGTTTCGTACCCGGACCACCACGACTGGCAGTCTGACGGCTTATTCAGTAGACCACAATGGGTTAAAGCTACATCACCAAAACTGTTCTTTTGATTAAAAGCTGTCTGGGACCCGAGTGTGGGCGGGCTGCCTCATCCTTTCTAGGCCATCAATGGTGGGCGAGGAATCTTGGGCTATAGGAGAGTAGTTAAGATAGGGTAGCTTATTGCACATCGTGGTCTAGTGGAAAAACTGCCATACTGCCAATCTTCGTGGTCCGGGTTCAAAACCCGGCACCCAGTGGTGAAAATTGTTTACATTGATTTACCTGTGTAGATTACAGGTTCTGATATATAGAATCGGAAATTGGGCCATTGTCAATATGGGAACTGTGTGTGTGGAATTCCTCTAGATGAGGATGATTATTACTATTAGATCACATTGTTGTGGTAGAGAGGCTAAGCAATGTTAATGTACTAGTCTACAGAGAGACACGTCTGAGAACATAAATCTAACTAGAAAAATAATATTTTAGTATCTGTTTGTTGGGATAATTTGCCCTGGACATTAACTCACGCGTACAGACACCTGGGTTACCTCTTCACCAACTATATTCTTACCACGCAATGGTTTCGGGGCTAGTGAGTTCCAGGAGTAGTGGAGTAGTGCTTGCATGAGCAGCATGACAAAAGATCTGTATGAGGTGAAAGGCGGAAAATAGGATTAAAACATCCCATTGAGTGTTAGGTATCTTATAAGCAACTGGGCTCCGCTTTCAACTGGGACACTTGACCAGGGGAGAGGGTCCTGCAGGTGATGAAAGTGACACTAGTATATAAGGTGGTCGATGTTATGAGTTGCCATCACACTCCACCATGAGGTTCCTGGTGAGTGACGTCTCCTACAGGTTTTGGTTGAGTGTCCCTAACCGTGGTGTGGATCTTCTACTCATGTTATTTAGTCACCCGGGCTGAGTGGTGTGTGGGATGAGTGACTGTTATTGTACCCTGTTTGGCCAGGAGACGGTAATATTTGACTGAATGCGTCGGTAATATGAAACAAGTGTTGATAAGTTCACTTTATTGTTTTAAAGACGGAAATGAGTTGAACTACATTTTTATCAAGTCAATATGAGCTTATCTTCAACTCTGTCATGTAAATTGTCTAAAATAGCACAGATGATGTAAATAGTGTAGTAAAATGAGCCACAATTAATGTATAACAAACTACAGTAAAGTCCATTGATTTGGCTTCTTAGAAAGGTTATGGTTGATTCAATTATTAACTGAATTGGTTTACATTTAAACATGATCTTCGAAATATTTCAATAACTCGGTCATCATTGCCTTCTTATCTATAATTTTTGAAGCCTACAATACTACTAATACAATTTATAGAAACTCAGAGGATTAAAAAAAGTACAACAAATATTACCTGATTTCCATTAGGCCAAAGTGGACGCTAATCTGTAAGGTACTCAAACTATCCAACCAGGAGCGAACTCGTAACGATGGTTTTAAATTAGACAAATTTAGATTTAGGCGCGAAATGGGTAAACATTGATTTGGAAATAGAGTAGTGAATGAATGGAACAAGTTACCAAACATCATCATTAACTCGAATACGCTGGATAGCTTCAAACATGGGTTGGGCGGATTTTTGAGCAATAGGGGTTGGGTGTCAATGGGACTGCTCAGTATGGGCCAATAGGCCCACTGCAGTCTCCTCCATTCTTATGTTCTTATGAGAGGAAATATTGTCCACCGCGTATATTTCTTGTACTGGTAACGCAGCTTCTACTATTAAAAAAATCTGAACACCTACACATTGTAGCTATTACGTAACATAAGGACATACGCCTCTAGTAACACAACATAGGGAAACCTTCCTCCTGTAGTGGTAACACAGCATAAAAACGTTCATTGATTTTAATATTTTATGATAATAAATATGTACAATGAAAGACAAAAGTCGTGTCGTAAAATTTGGTGAAAACATATGCCAAAGGGCTAAACTTTTGGTGCGCTCTGTCTTGTGGTAGGGGGCTCTCACAATGTTTCAGGAGTTATATTTAATCTTCGGACAAAACCGCGACACCACTATTGTCTTTCACTGTACATTGTCAGCAACCCAATAAAACTTTTATTTTTGTTCACAACAGATATACTGCTGCTTGTTGGCGGCTGCTGCAAACGCCGCCCCTCAAGGGTACAATCTGGCCACACCCTCTGGTCCAGGGTTCTCCTCTGGCTCAGGGTTCTCTGGTGGCTCAGGGTTCTCTGGTGGATCAGGGTTCTCCGGTGGGTCTTCCTTTGGTTCCGGATTCTCTTCAGGTGGCACAGGGTTCTCTTCAGGTGGTTCAGGGTTCTCGGGTGGCTCTGGATTTTCGGGCGGCTCAGGGTTCTCTGGTGGATCAGGGTTCTCTGGTGGATCAGGATTCTCTGGTGGCTCAGGGTTCTCTGGTGGTTCAGGGTTCTCCTCAGGCGGCTCTGGCTCCCATGGTGGCTCTGGGGGCAGCTGTGGTCCTGGACAGGTCCGTCATGTGGACGGCAGCTGTGTGACTCCTCAGGTCACTCGCAACTTGTATGTGTACACCGTCCCCCCAGCAGCTCCAGTCGGCGGCCCACGACCAAACGTTCCTCCACCAAGAGTTGAACACAATGTTATCTTCATTCGCACCCCAGAGAACGGCCCTGGCCAGGAACCCATTGTCGTGCCACCACCACAAACAAGGAACGTTGTGTACGTCCTCAACAAGCGACCTGAAGGAGACCAGCAGGTCATCCACGTACCAGCACCAGAACAAGAGACTCCTGAGGTGTTCTTCATCAACTACGGTGAGGGAGACAACCCAACTCTGCCCACCGGCGAGGACCTCCAGTCTGCCCTCAACTCTGCTACCGAAGGTGGCGGCGATGTCATTGGTAGCACCGGAGGCGGCATTGGCGGCGGTAGTATTGGTGGCGGTGGTGGTGGAGGCATCATTGGTGGTGGCGGCGGCGGTATCATTGGTGGTGGTGGAGGCATTATTGGTGGCGGCGGCGGCGGCATCATTGGTGGCGGCGGCGGCGGCATCATTGGTGGCGGCGGCGTCATTGGTGGAGGTGGTGGTGGCGGCAGCGGTGGGTACAACCCTCCCTCCGTGTCTCAGCCGTCATCATTGTATTCACAGCCATAAAATCGAGATCATTGTTCTTGTGTAATGACATGAGAGCTTTTTTCAAGTGGTTACAACTGTTATGTTTTATTTATGTTGATCACGGTTAAAAGTTCACTCTCTGTATACCCGATATACCAGTGTTATTATGAAATCTTAAAAATAAACATGAAGTTCTTTTTTAACTTTTTGTATCCTCTCTACACTATTATTATGTTAGAAATGGCACACCAGCAATTTGTAAAAATAAATGGTTAGTGAAATATTATAATTCATAGGAAATACAGATAGCATCAACAAATACTTCGCTTTGATGATGACTGAACAATAATGTATCGTTTTGTGAACACCGACATTCCATAGCCTGTAAACAAGAAAAATATGAAGTTTCGTCTGTTTGTGTCTATGACAAGGACCAAGACGGCTAGTTTATTGTGCACCCCATACTCATCCTCTGAGCGGTAGCCTAGAATGGATTACAGAGTAGAATGCTCAAGGGGTGTTGTTATCAGACCTCAGTGGTCTAGATGTATTGGCAGTGAGTGTTACAGAGTATTTCTAGTACATTGTTTGTCTAGTTTGCTTCATACAATTTTTCTTGGCTACTAGATGCGAAAATTGGATTCAGCTTTAGTATATCAGCTCTCTTGTTCACATCTGCTTGAGGAACATACTGTCAGAGGTATAGTTGCCCTCATTTATAACGGGTACAGTGGCTGCCGTGTGTTGTGAGATGTGGCAGATGTGAACAAAACTAAATGTAAGGTGTGCGGCCAAACATGTTACAAACTCCAGCATTACGTCTTAGACTGTGAAAATAATAAAACTTTTTTGGGACAGGCTCAAGCATACTGAGTATGCAATGGCACAGCAATTTATCCACGATGGCAAGAGGGCGGTTAGAACATCTTGTAATCTAGTGGTATTGTTGCCTTTTTTATATATCTCATTATGGAAAACAATGGATTGACTATTGCCTGTTTGAACTTATATTCTTGCTACAAATTCGTCAATAAGTTCTTCCCTGATTACAGTTTTTAAGGTTCTGATTGACAGTCCTAGACGACTCCGGAATGGTGACAGTAGCTGGTCGATTTTTTCACAAAGGAGTAAAAAAAAAAAGACAAAGCATTATCAGGAGTATTTCGCCATCAGAATTTTATATCGGGTATTCTCTCAATTACTTAAGTATTCATACCTAACCTGCACCACATAGACTGTCAGGGTTTGTGTAATTTAGTGGTGGTCCGCTATACAAAGGTGGTCTTCCTTGGTCCGGGGTGATTTCCTGAATCCCTGTCAGTAACGTAAACAAACACTAGCGCCTTCTTCACTGACGTCTTCCACATGTAATTACCAAACCCATTTTCCTCTGTAAGTCACTTTATTATATTATTTCTATCATTTTTTATTAAAGCTTGTATTTCTTTAGTGCATAGGATCCCACGACAACTAGTCAACTGGTCTTACAAGACTAAATTGTTGATGAAATTTTCAACTTGACTCATGTGAAAATGTAATGAAATGTCACTCGATTCAGTCACTAATGAGTATTGTCTCAATCCTCACTGTATAATATTAGGCTAAAATTCTTGACCTTGACCTTTAACACACAGACTTGAATTTGATGTTTTGTATTTTCTCCACCAGTTTTACATATTTATTTAAGGAATCGTTGAAATATTGTCGCAGTAAAGGAATTATATCTTAGATTACGAAATCCTTACAGAGAGCCAGACGGATGGAAAAAAAATTGTAGGGTAAGATTTTTTATTTTGCTCGCTCATGAAAATTAAGGCGTAGTCTCTTCTAGTTGATTTTATTTCTTTGCTTCTAAACAGTCCGTGTTGTCATGCTGTTTTATCTCGTGGGGTAACTGGTATAATCTCGTGTCACCAGCAGCTTCAGGCATTAGTTATGTGTTGGTTGTGAAGTTACGTGAACATAAGAGCATAAGAACATAAGAACATAAGAATGGAGGAAACTGCAGCGGGCCTATTGGTCCATACTGGGCAGTCCCATTTACACCCGACCCCTATTGCTCATATATCCATCCAACCTATGTTTGAAGCTATCCATCGTAATCGAGTCAATAATGTTCCATTCATCCACTACTCCATTTCCAAACAAATGTTTACCTGTTTCGCGCCTAAATATAAATTTGTCTAATTTAAAACCACTGTTACGAGTTCGCTCCTGGTTGGATAGTTTGAGTACCTTTGTTATGTCCCCTTTGCTTAGCCCTGACTTCCATTCATACACCTCTATCATATCGCCCCTACGTCTCTCGAGGGAGTGCAAATTAAGATGCTTTAACCTGTCTCTGTCTCTGTCATTCTCCTTTGAATTCTTTCTAGGGATTCTATATCCATTCTGTAACGCGGTGACCAGAAATGAACTGCGTAATCCAAGTGAGATCTCACAAGCGCAAGATATAGTTTCAGGATGACCTCTCTAGTGTTGTAACTAGAGAGGAACTAAGCCCAGCATGGTATTATAAACTCGCTGATTGGGCTGACATTTTACAATAGTTATTATCCTAGGAGTACATACTGGTGGTGAAGATGCCTAACAAGACATGACACAGAGCACAGAGAATGATACATACATGTACAGTGTCCACAAAGTACACTGCCGCCTCCTTCACCTGATAAAATGAATTCTGGGTATTCTTAGCTTCAGTAGACCAGTGGGAGGGGAAGTCCTATTCAGGGCTGGTGTGTGTCTGCTCCCCATACCATAACTTACGTCGAAGGTAGAGAAAGAGAACCATCCTTAAATCAGGTTGTGGTATTACAGTACATGTCACCAGGCCGGGAGCAAAGCAGAAGTGTGGCAGCATCAACTTCACCTGCCAATATGATGGTTTCTCCCACCGTCGTCATTCTTAGTAAATATACTGTATTAGCAAAATTACCCGGCTTCACACGGGTTAGGTACAGTATATACTGTATAACCTATACTCTCACAGTTTACCCTCCCTGACACGGGTAACCACCTCCCACAATCGTCGTGGTGATATCTCAGTTGGGGAAGATTTTTGTTTTTTGCCCGGACCACCCGGAGGTCCGTGGTCAATAGTGATACCAAGGAGCACATCCTTGGGACCCATGTAGTATGTGTGTAAGGTTTCACGTATGTAACTGCTTCTGTTCTTAATTTTCCTATACAACTGTTAACATGATGGCAGGTGTACCTGACCTAAGGCGCTCAAGAAAAAAATCTTTACACTAATAATAGTCAATAAAATAGTACAGTGACTAATATATATCAACTGCATTAATCCTTCTTAATCCCTATCAACTGAATTTAGATATTTCACCTCAAGGGCTACAACATGCGAGCTTTTCAATTTCTCAACATCCATAAACACTTACTTCCAACAGCAAGAGAGGCAAAGGCTGCGTGTTGTGCGAGGGAGTTCCTCACTATAATAGTGTACTTGTCACAGTCGTCCAACACCACATCACAGATGGTGAGGCTGGTGGATCCTTTCTCGGTCATTACCTTGCACCGTCCTCCATCCATAATATCTTGTTCCTAGACACATGCACATCACAACTATTTCTATTATTATTAATGTCGACAATACTTATTAAAAAAATAAAGGATTTGTATGTTTCGAAAGAAACATGTACAGTCTCGTTCAAGACTCCCCGAACACTGCTGGAGACAGCCGGCAACCAAAGGCCGCCCGTCCACTATAGTACGTACGTAGAATAATATAATACGAAACAACAGAGCCCATCCATCAAATTAAGCAAAGGGGATCTAAGTAATCAACTACTGATCACTTTTATATTCATTCATAAATTTTACTACGTACTATAGTACACAAACGGCCCCGAGCTGCCAGCTGTCTCCAGCAGTGCTCGAAGAATCCTGAACGAGAGCGCACATTGTAGGCCAGTGCAACATCTGCTGAAATCTGAAGTAGTACTGTACAGTTGTCCCTCGGTTAACAAGCGCCTCTGTTAATGAGATTTCGGTTAACGAGCAATCCCTCGATTATCAAGTTTTTTACGAGCCGACCTCAACACGTTTTCGCTTGCACTCGGCGGTCAACCAGCTGTAGTATTAGTCCGCCAATACAGTAATCGGTTCTAGGGCTTAAATTCCTTACTATTTTAGTAAATATCAAGAAGTTTATACTATTCAATAATTTTAAAAGTTTAATATTAAATTTTTTAGTCATTTTAAGAATTATTGAACATAATTGAAGGTAAGGTAACTAGTTTCATGCGCGCCATCCAGAGTCAACACACCAAACAGGCATTAGTCACTCTGTCTTTTCAGTGGAGGTAACATCTTGCTTGAGACTCTTCAACTAAATGCTTTTTTCTGTGTTTCCAAGCAAATTATTGGTCATTTTGAAATTTATTTTACATATTGACAATACTATAGCACACTGCAGTGTTGATTTAAAGAAAGTATTCTTTATTTACAGCAAGTTTAAACTTAAAATATCACGTGTTGAGATTGTTTGAATCCAGCATGGGGCCTAAGAGATCAAGAAAAGCGATTTCAATCCAAACTTAGCAGGAAATTATAAAAAAAAAAACATGAAGAAGGCATTAGAACAAATGCACTATGCAAAGAATATGGCATGTCGACATCAACTGTGTCGACAATTCTTTCACAGAAAGACAAATTTAAGGAAGTGAAAGTGAGAGACAAATCTACCAGTGTTTAAAGGTAGATCCCTAATATCAGAAACAGAGAGGTTACTTCTCATTTGGATTAGGGAAAAACAAATGAAAGGTGATTCAATTTCGACCGAATTTATTTGTGAAAGAGCCAGGGAGATTTACGAACATTTAAAGGCAGATCAACTTGGTTCTTCAGGCACAGAGTTTGAAGAGTTTAGGGCCAGCAAGGGCTGGTTCAAAAAATTTTAGAAAAGAAGTGACATTTTTAGTGTTGTTAGGCATAGTGAGGCTGCCAGTGCTGATAAGGAAGGAGCAGCAAAATTTTCAGTGAACTTTAAAGAACTGGTGGATGAAGAAAATTATCTTCCACAGCAAATGTTCAATGTGGACGAAACTGGGCTGTTCTGGAAAAAAATGCCCAAAAGGACATTCATCACCAGAGATGAAGCCTCTTTACCTGGGCATAAACCTATGAAAGACCGTCTCACTCTGTTGCATGGTGCCAATGCTTCAGGGAATTTCCGACTGAAGGCCATGCTTGCCTACCACTCTGAGAACCCCAGGGTGTTCAAGCAACAAAAAGTGGTAAGAGGACGGCTTGGAGTTTATTGGAAGTGCAACCGTAAGGCATGGGTGACAAGACAGCTCTTTAATGAATGGGCAGTTGAGGTGCTTTGCCCTTCTGTGAAGAGCTACCTAACCACCAATAAACCTCCTCTAAAGGCTCTTCTCCTCATGGATAATGCCCCTCGTCATGACCCTCAACTTGCCAGCACTTTGGAGTCTCAATTTGACTTTGTCATAGTGTTGTTTTTGCCTCCCAACACTACATCAATCATACAGCCAATGGACCAGAATGTGATCAGCAACTTTAAGAAGCTGTACATGAAGAAAATGTTCAGGAGGTGTCATCAGGCAGCTTCCACTGATCCTGAACTAACACTGGCACAGTTCTGGAAAACACAATTTAACATCCTGGAGGCTGTAAAATTGATTGTGTCCTCATGGCAAGAAGTCTCCACTAGATCCCTCAATTCTGCATGGAAAGCACTGTGGCCATCAGCAGTCCATGATTTTGAGGGATTTGAGGAAGAAGCAGAGTTGGACCAGGAGATTGTGTCCATTGGTCAGTCATTGGGCCTTGAAGTGGAGGAGGATGATGTAGAAGAGCTTCTGATGTCTCATGAGCAGGAACTTACTCCTGAAGACTTGCAGCAACTGGATGAGATGTTAGAGGCTGACAGTGGTGAGGAGGAAAAGGAAAGTGATAACCATATGTCTACTTCAGATTTGAAAGATGTTGTTCACTACTGGGAGAAGTTCAGGAAACTGGCTTCAAGGCACCCAGATGTGGAAAAAGCAGAACTTGCTTTGTGTAATGTTGAGGACACAGTGGCCTCCTTCTTCAAACATCAGTTAATGAGGAGGAGGAGAGATGCCCCACAAACAAAAATTGACAGTTTCTTCAGTAAAAGGCAGCGGGAAAAAGATGCTAGCCCTCAGCCTTCCACTTCAAGAAGGAGAGAGGATGTTCCTGCTGGAGAATCTGTCAGTCCAGAGGTTCCTGACATTTTCATGGAAGGTGACTCACCTTCCAAGAAGCAGTAAAATGCTTCTCCTCCACCTCCACTTCCTTCTCAACAGCTTCTAAAGCACAACAAAAGAAAGATATAAGAACAGAAACTTAGATATATGGTGTGATAACTGTGCGAGTTTCAACATCCTCACATTTATACAAACAGTTTATAAAGCTTCAGAGTTGTTTCATTTTGATGTGGAGTATTGTGGACACCTGCATTTGTAAGTCGTAACGTTTAGCGAAGGAAAATAAGGTATTTCATTCCTTCAAATGTTTGAAAGTGTATTTAACGAGGTATGGGGCGATATTAAGTGAACAAGTAATGGATGCCTTTAAATTTTATCACTTTTTTGTACGAGTTGTCAATTATAGAAATTGAGTAATTGACGAAATACTGAAACTGTGTGTGTGTGTGTGTGTGTGTGTGTGGCATTTCCCAGAAGAGGCGACTATTAGCCAATATTTTATTATCATAAATTGTCTATCACATTGTTGTAGTAGCGAAGATAACAAATATTAATATGGAATACTATATTCACTCATTATTAGAATGTACATCTCCAGTAACTATAAAAATAATACCTAAGTAAGTGTATTTTTGCATGATGTGTCCTGGACAGTATCAGCAAGAGTATACACCTTGGGAGTACTGGCAGCCGGGAGACCCTCGATATGACAACTGCGTTTTCGAGCATCAGTTGACGCTCAGTCACTGAATTGCTGATTCACCAAATCTGTTCTTTCCATATATTAGATGTTAGGCTGGCGAGTCTCACGATGACCAGTGGAGTAGTGCTTGCATGACAAACTGAAAGTATGAGGTGAAAGGCGGGGAAACATGAATGTTATGCATCTTGCCTAGGGGTGACGGCCACATATATCGTTAATACGCCTATTGAAAATATAATTGTCATTTCTCATAAAATATACATTTCATCTTATCCAGTATTACAGAATAAACGTAAATATTTTGAATTTATCCAGTGTGTGTGTGTGTGTGTGTGTGTGTGTGTGTGTCATATGGACACTGCACTTAACTGGGACACATGACAGGGGAGAGGGATCCTGAACGAGGTGAAGAAAGTGACAAGTATATAAGGTGATGGATGCTTTGAACTGCCAACACACATCACCATGAAGTTCCTGGTGAGTAACGCCTCCAGCAGGCTCTGGTTGTGTATCTTCAACAGTAGTGTGGATCTGCTCCAACTCTTATTTAGTCACCCGGGCTGAAGAACTAACTGTGCTGGTGTGTGGGATGAGTGAGTGTTATTGTACCCTATTTGGCCAGGGCATTGTACAAGATGTTAAGTTAACGCAGACGGTAAAACTGCCCGTGTGACTGAGGCAAGTTGTACTGCCTGGACCCTCACACATTATATTCAACGAACGCTCAGAAACCTACACTTAAGATGACGCCCACGCGTATTGACAAGTTTACGTTATTGTTTTAAAGAAGACAAAATAGTTTAATTACATGCCTATCGAAAGAATATTATGTTTACTTCAAATAAATCTTGTAAATTTTCTAAAATAGTACAGGTGAAATGGTAGCTAGTAAAATGAGCAACACTTAATGTAGTGGCTCGGAATCTTTTTCCGTCGGTGTGAGACGTCATGTGGTCCTTCCCAATGGTGACTCATTCATTTTATCTTTCATATCTTTATTATACTATATACAGTATATTATATGGCACTTGGGGGATATGGTACAGTCACCCAAAAAAGTCCTGTCGCCAACCATGAACCCCGAGATTCAGACTCTTCAATCCGAAGCATTTACGGACAGAATAATGTATCAGTGTCTACTGCTTCGGGTTCACGAGTCTGAATCGTGGTTCGCGACAGGACTTTTTTGGGTGACTGTACATATAAGATATTCTGTATACGGTACGCCCAATATTCCTTTGGCTCAGGTTTCCTCTGATGAGGCTTCATATACCCCCGTGGGGTCCATGGACCTCTGATTCAGAATTGCTGGCTAAATCTACAGCAAGAACCAGTAATGCCTAATGTTTTGACTTCAGAAAAGTATACGTTGAATCAATATTAATTTAATGACCTTATTTCCATATATGCCAAAGAACATGCTAATCTGCATGAGATAAATGAGCGGTAACGTAGCATAGGGACATTCAGCCTTTGCTGCGGTAATATAACGGAAGGATAACCCCCATTTTGTATTTAAAATTATACCTTGCACAATCATGTTCATCATTCATGTCGATAACACGAAAATTTTCTTTTAGTAGTGGAGTTCATTGTTTCTTTAGCAAGTGGTCTTTAATATTTGTACATTCCATACATTATAAATATTAAAGAAGATGAATTTTATAATTTTTTACTAATAATGATTTCTACATTGACGTTAACAAAACGTTTATATTTTACCACAACAGATATTTAGCTGCTTGTTGGGGGCTGCTGTGAACGCCGCCCCTCAAGGATACAATCTGGCCGCACCCTCTGGTCCAGGATTCTCCTCTGGTTCAGGGTTCTCTGGTGGATCAGGGTTGTCTGGTGGTTCAGGGTTCTCTGGTGGATCAGGGTTGTCTGGTGGTTCAGGGTTCTCGGGCAGCTCAAAGTTCTCGGGTGGCTCAGGGTTCTCTGGTGGCTCAGGGTTCTCTGGTGGATCAGGGTTCTCTGGTGGTTCAGGGTTCTCTGGTGGATCAGGGTTGTCTGGTGGTTCAGGGTTCTCTGGTGGCTCAGGTTTCTCAGATGGTTCAGGGTTTTCGGGAGGCTCAGGATTCTCTGGTGGGTCAGGGTTCTCCTCAGGCGGCTTTGGCTCCCATGGTGGCTCTGGGGGCAGCTGTGGTCCTGGACAGGTCCGTCATGTGGACGGCAGCTGTGTGACTCCTCAGGTCACTCGCAACTTGTATGTGTACACCGTCCCTCCAGCAGCTCCAGTAGTGGGCCCACGACCAAACGTTCCTCCACCAAGAGTTGAACACAATGTTATCTTCATTCGCACCCCAGAGAACGGCCCTGGCCAGGAACCCATTGTCGTGCCACCACCACAAACAAGGAACGTCGTGTACGTCCTCAACAAGCGACCTGAAGGAGACCAGCAGGTCATCCACGTACCAGCACCAGAACAAGAGACTCCTGAGGTGTTCTTCATCAACTACGGTGAGGGAGACAACCCAACTCTGCCCACCGGCGAGGACCTCCAGTCTGCCCTCAACTCTGCTACCGAAGGTGGCGGCGATGTCATTGGTAGCACTGGAGGCGGCGGTGATGGCAGCATTGGTGGTGGGAATGGCAGCATCGGTGGCATCATTGGTGGTGGTGGTGGTAGTACCATTGGTGGCGGCGGCGGCATCATTGGTGGCGGCGGTGGCATCATTGGTGGCGGCGGTGGTGGCAGTGGTGGCTACAGCCCTCCTTCCGTGTCTCAGCCGTCATCATTGTATTCACAGCCATAAAGTCGAGATCATTGTTCTTGTGTAATGACATGAGAGCTTTTGTCAGGTGGTCACAACTGTTGTGTTTTATTTATGTTGATCACGGCTAAAACTTCACTCTCAATTCAGTATGCCTGATATACCAGTGTTATGCTTATTGTGAACTATATGAAATAAACATAAAATACTTTTCAACTATTATTTTACACTTAATTCTTTTATAATGTTATAAAAGTCACAACAACATTTTAGGGCTGCTCAGGGTTCAGACGGTTCAAGGTTCTCTTCAGGTGGCCCTGGTTCTCATGGTGGCTCTGGGGGCAGCTGTGGATCATAAGAACAAAAGAATGGAGGAAACTGCAGCGGGTCTATTGGCCCATACTGGGCAGTCCCGTTTGCAACCAACCCCTATCGCCCATACAGTATAACCATCCAACCTATGTTTGAAGTTATCCAGTGTATTCGAGTTAATGACGATGTTTGGTAACTTGTTCCATTCAGCCACTTCTCTATTTCCAAACCAATGCTTACCTATCTCGCGCCTAAATCTAAATTTGTCTAATTTAAAACCATTGCTATGAGTTCGCTCCTGGTTGGATAGTTTGATTACCTTTATTATATCACCTTTATTTAGCCCTGACTTCCAGTTATACACCTCGATCATGTCGCCCCTTACTGTACGTCTCTCGAGGGAGTGCAAATTAAGATGCTTTAAGCTGTCTCTAGTCAAGGTTCCTAATGCCCGGGATTAGTCTTGTCATTCTCCTCTGAATTCTTTCTCGGGATTCTATATCCATTTTGTAGTACGGTGACCAGAACTAAACTGCGTAATCCAAGTGAGGTCTCACAAGCACAAGATATAGTTTTAGGATAATCTCGCTAGTCTTATAACTAACACTCCTTTGTTTGAACCCAAGTACTTTGTCAGCCTTGTTTCGAGCAAGTACACATTGTTGACTTGGTTTAAGATTCCTACTTAACATTACTCCTAAGTCTTTCTCACAGTCGAATTTCTCTATAACAACGTTGTTCACCTGATATCTGGTTTTTCTATTTACATCTCTTAGTCTAAGTGCATTACATTAAATTTCATATGCCTTTTTTAGACCATGCGAAACATTTCTTTCGATCTTCCTGTAGTTTTGTGGAATCTTCGTCTGATTTTATTACACGCCCTATTTTAGTGTCATCAGCAAATTTACTTATGTTGCTGTCTACGCCTATATCTATGTCGTTTATGTATATAATAAATAGTGATGGTCCAAGTACTGAGCCTTGGGGTACTCCACTAGTGACGTTACCCCAATCGGATTTAGTGCCCTTAATGCTTACTCACTGTTTCCTGTACTGTAACCATGCCCTAATCCATCTATGATAATAATAATAATAATAATAATAATAATAATAATAATAATAATAATAATAATAATAATAATAATAATAATAATAATGGAAGTCCCTCGAAATCGAGGATGGCCGACCCAAGGCCCACCTAGGCGTGATTTTGTTTAAGGTGTAAAAGCTGTCGCCAATACAACAACCACACCCTAAGTTAGGGAGCTGCATGACCCAGTGTCAAGGAATAGTCCAAGAAGACTGGATATCTCCTCCAATGCCATGAGCCTCCACTTTTCGTATTAGTCTTTCGTGGGGGACTCTGCCGAAGGCTTTGCTAAAGTCGAAGTATTCTACATCATAATCGTGTCCGTCGTTTACTTATTCGAAAACTTCACGTGAAGTCAGTATGTCTAAATTATGAGGTTTATTAATAAATTTCCTAAATCTTACCCCTTCACTAGGGAACCCCAGGTTGATTGTTTCATTTGGTTAACAAGGGGTTAACGGTTAAGAACAATTAATATTTAGACATTAATAAAAAAAAACCCGCTAGTCAATAAGGATACATGCATGTTGATTGACTTCAGAATAATAATTCCCGAATCATGAGAAGTCATAAATTATTTTTGAGGTAGCTGATGGTTACTTGGCTTAGCTGACTCTTTTCTGTTTCATTAATACACTAACCCAGGTCATCCTGATGAACAAATGTCTTGACTATACCACGCCCTGTATAAGCTGGACACCGTTGGACTCCCCACTGCCGTTGTAGACATTCGTCTACTCTGTCCCATACTATATTCCCCCAAGCCACAGTGCTCCTGTCGTCCTCTGTTTACTGCACTCCCAGTCGCTGCTTTCCCGGTCTACACAGGTTACGGAATCACTGCTCCTCTGCTCAGGAACTCACACTGATCTTCTCAGGAACACACACTGATCTTCTCGGGAACACACACTGTTCCTCTTCTCAGGAACACATACGGGTCCTCTTCTCAGGAACACACACTGGTCCTCTTTTCAGGAACACACACTGGTCCTCTGCTCAGGAACACACAATGGTCTTCTTCTCAGGAACACAAACTGGCCCTCTTCTCAGGAACACACAATGGTTCTCTTCTCAAGAACACACACTGGTCCTCTGCTCAGGAACACACAATGGTACTCTTCTCAGGAACACACACTGGTCCTCTGCTCAGGAACACACACTGGTCCTCTTAGGAACACACAATGGTACTCTTCTCAGGAACACACACGGGTCCTCTTAAAAAAAACACAATGGTCCTCTTCTAAGGAACGCACACTGGTCCTCTGCTCAGGATCACACGCTGTTAGTGGCTAATACTGTTACAACTCACGGTTACTGTACAGTCCTGCTCTCGTGTGCATACCGGAGAGTAAACGACCACACACTCTGCCTCCTTGGTCAAAACCAAGACTAATACAAGAGGAAATGAGAGAAAACCAGTTAAGATTTGAAGTTCTCCAAAACTTAGGGACCAGAGGAGGGTACAGGAGGAATTGAGATAAAGAATGAATTATGGTGGACGGAGGAAGTAAAAGGAGAGACAATGAAACAAGATGGAAACTACATACTACAGTATATGTCTTTTTCCAGCTTTAATGTAGTAGCCGGCATCAAGGGTTGATGTCGACGCATCTCTCTTCTTACGCTGCTTTTCCTTCATTCTTACCGCCGTGATAAATAAATAAATAAACAAAGGGACGGTAATTACATCGTTGTTGTCAGACGTTTCGAATCTTTACATCATCTTCAGTGCAACAGGCGGAAGCAATACATTACACAAAGCATATGCAAATACACGACTAAAGAGTATAATATGTTATTGAACAATAATAGTACAAAAATATAAAATTACGAAATTGGTGATGTAAAGTGTGGTGATTCAGTGAGAAAATTACAACATAAACACCTTAAAGTTGAAATTGAGATATATAAGTGTAAAATAGAATAAATAATAACAAAAGTAAAATACAAATATTTAAAGAAATAACATATTAACAAAATATCGTACAACTATCTCAAAAGGAAACATATAACTTATTCTTTATATAAATGTAATACTAAAGTAAAGTTGTTCGAGCAAGCCTTCAACCTGGTGGTGTGCATCGATGAGGTCAAGCGTCGTAATTCCGGCCGCTTGCGTCAAAAAAATTTATATTTGCGCCCGGCATGATGGCAAACACCCATTCTGATAATCTTTGTAAGGCTTAAGAACATTATACCTGGCAGGTGATTACACACAAACACAGTAAATAAAATGCTTGGAACGATTTCCGTCGGAATTCAAGGATACTTTTTCTGAGATTCCGAGTTAGAAAATACTGTTCTCATTTGTTTAAAATATTTTTTTCCAAGTACACGTGGTCAGTCATTGTCAGCCACATGTTGAGGGAAATCTTGGTGATGCACAATTGTAGCTCCTAGACCTGCAGATTAATATCATGAAACATTCGCAAAACCGTAGCCTTTGTTGGATTGTTTAAAAAAGTGAATTAGTAAACAATGCAAAGAAAGGATTTAATCAGTCTTTTAAAAGTTTGGGTCAACATACTGTTGCCAAAGAAAAGGCACTGCACCGCTCAAAGCAGGTTTTACTAAATTTGAACCAGATTTCACTAAGATTGCAGAGGATAATCAGTTGAATTATATAATATATATATATATATATATATATATATATATATATATATATATATATATATATATATATATATATATATATAAATATATGTATATAGGCTATATATATATTTTTTTTTTACGGGGATTAGTCCACCCAGGCACAGGTCACTGAAGAGCATAATCAGTTGACTTTGCCCCCCTTGCTACCTTGCTTTTTTTTATCTCGGTCCCAACGCTACTGGCCATACCTTATAATAATCTCGGTATTGGTCAGTATTATTCTCCTACATGTAGCCTTCCTTTGTCCAATAATATTCTTTAAATAATTATTTATCCATTTAGGGTCATTGTTGGTTGATCTGAGTTTTCTGGATGGTATGTTCTGCTTTGTGCATTAAGTAACTCATTATTTAAATTGTTGTAAAACTCGTCAACTTCAGATCTCGTGATCAGGTCATCCTCAGCCGTCAGGTCTCCAAGTAAGGTGATGTCGCCTTCTGAGGTACATTGTGTGAGGTCACCTCATGTGAGGTCATGTTAATTTACCCCCATACGTGATACCCCTTCTCTCAGATGCCTCTTCAAACTATCAAAGTTTGTCCTTCTGGGACTTTAGTGGAATTTTCCTTGCGGCTGCTCTGAAATTCTAATTGGAATCTTATTTCTTTGTGATCACTGTTAGCAAGTTTGTTCCTTACCTCAACATTACTAACAAGGTTTTCTCTGTTTGACGGAACTAAATCGAGTATATTATTACCCCAGGTGGGTTCGGTTATATTTTGACTTAGGAAACAGTCCTGGATTGTTTCAAGAAAATCCTCTGATTCTGAGTTACCTGTAAGGTCGATCGAATATATTTGGCTAAAGTTAAAATCGCATACTATACAGACTTTGCTATGTATGGAAGCCCTGCCCATTTCATCCCAAATAAGTCGCTCATTAACTCTATCAAGATTAGGGAGTCTGTGTATATTACTCCTGTGATAAATTTTTCTCTACCATCGATTAATTTTATCCAAATTGTTTCTGTATTCCGCTCAGTTTATATTTCCTTATTTATTTCACACTTCTGATTATACCTGACATAGATTGCTACTCCGCCTCCTTTCCTCATCTGCCTATCGGTATGGAATAATTTGTATCCTGCAATTTGGTAGTCGACAGGTAACTCAAGTGAGTAAGTTTAGCCATATTTCGGTGAATGCTA